ATCGTCCGCAGGTTGAGCGAAATTTAAATTTCGGACAACTGTTGACGACCGGCAATTAGAGACGGGAGGAAACTTTTTACTTATCTTTTCTGCGGCGGCACCACCAAAGCTGCTGGGAAAAAGGATTCCAGGACGTTATCCTTATCCGGCTCGAAGGACCATGTTTAGGAGTGGGGTGGCTAGGATATTCTTCGCAAAAGGATCAGTAGAGAAATCCGTCCCACGAAGAAGAAACGCAGAAAAAAGTTCAGAAATTAGGGGGTCGAAAAATGACGTTGGCATGGAGCGCCCTTTGCATGCATTTCTTGACAGTCGTATTGGAACTAAACTTAGCTTAGCCTAAGGGCCCGCTGCCGGCCGAGAAGCCCAGCTTAACGGCGCGAGAGCGGGAGAGCGGGAGAACCGGGAATGGGAGCGGCGTAGCCATCCCTAGAAGCGAGCGACGATCGGGAACACGGGAGCGTGCGATCGGGAATACCGAGGAGCGGAGAGCGGGCGAGCGTTGCTAAGCTGGAAGCGCTTAAGCTTTTGGACGCTCGGTGGGCAGAGGGGGATCAGGGGCCTCCTGGCGTAAACAAATACAATAACTGCTTTCGCATGACTTCCTTTGGTGCTAATATCATTCGAGAAGGCCTCATGCCGACTTGCAAGGTAAAAGTTACAATCACTTACACAAATACAAAGAATTGCAACACATAATAACAACATATACACCGCGGACTACACCATCACACGATTCTTCAACAAATGATTGTTTGCAATTACAGATACAAGGACAAATATATAATTTGCATGGTTCAATGGTGCCAACACCAGATAACCCGCATCTATTTCTGCAAATATATTTCATTTCGTCGATGGTGGATCAACTGAATGTGCGGTGCACAACAGTTAAAGAGACAAATTACTGAAAAGTTCAAGCATTTTTTCACGCTAATAATGCTGTGGTTAATATGTTCAAAACAGCAAACGAATGCCATCGGATACCTACAAATTTGTCATAAGAGCGGATTGTACCCCAGCAGGTGAAGGGGTAACGACATAAGTCCGCCGCCATAATTTCGGCGTTTTAAAACGACATAATTTCGCGCGATCTTATGACGCTTGGCCTACGTCAATAAAAACCGGAAAACCGAGGAGCAAACAGACCTTGAGGCCTTTCAATATATAATTTTAATGTTAATTGTTTATATTTATGTGTTATAGTGTTGGTATAGAATTAGTAAGAATAAATAATATTAATAAAATTTCAAGAATTTAATTTTATATATGAAAAAAAAATCATCTACAATTCATCGATGAATCATCATCATTTCATCGATCAAATGTTTATGAAATGTTGATGAATTGTTGATGAAATGTGGATGAAATGTTGATGAAATGATGATGAATTGTTGATGAAAGGCTGATGAAATGTTCATCCATGAATCATCAACATTTCATCAACAATTCATCAACATTTCATCAGCCTTTCATCAACAGTTCATCAATGAAATGATGATGAAATGTTGATGAATTGCTGTTGACAGCCTATGACATGCCCATGTTAAATTCATCAATAATTTGTATGGCGATTCATCGATGAATCATCAACGCTTCGGGTGTTGATCAATCTTTTGAACTTTAACGCATTCCAATATCGGCATATAGTCGTCATATGTCTAATATCTAAATTTTCATAATCACTGTAGTTTGCAGTGGGATCATATTGGAAAGCCAATGATCTTCGAACATCGGCCGCCGCACAAGGCATGCAAGCCAGCAACAAGTGTATTGTAACGGCCTGAAGCGAACATTTTAATTGCCCGCCAACGGAGATCGATAAAAAAACTAGGGGAGTTCGTGATAACGTTGCCACCTAGTGTAGTTAGTTATCGAGACTCAGCTGATAGCAAATAGAGTTGCTAATCGCCACTCCTGTCAAACGTCAGTGGCCAATTTCAGCCATAATTTTTTTCTCGGCCTATTTTTCGAGCGACAGACCGGCAGCTAGACGTGCGTGTGCTTAAGGAGCAAATAATCCCGACTCAAAAAGGGAACTTTGTGCTTTGGAGAACGTCTCGCCTTGACTGGGTTTTGCCCCGAGTCCGCGTGATCGCCAAAGTTTGTTCGCGAGCAGCAGCGGCGGAAGCTCTCGTAGTCGGAGTGAAAAGTGGATAGTCAAAGCCTAAAATAACAATTGCCAAGACAGTCTGGGAAATGAGTTTAATGTTTAACTCTTTGCAGGTCAAAAGTGATTGATTTTTGGGTTAACCTTCGTTTGTTAGCCTCGGCACAGTGCCATAACCTCACTTCAGTCTACTCAGAGGCTAGTCCTCATGGCGTACGGCCTGCTTCTGTAAGCTCACTCTTCGCTCGCTGATCCTAGCGCTTTTGGAGGATCGTTGTTGCCTCTCCAAGGACTGCCAACGCCTTAGGCATGCCAATCTCGAAGATTATTGCTATTGAGCCGAAGCCTTAAAGGATGTCTAATAGGAATTGATCTACAGTATTGAATATCAAGGCTAAAGGGCCGAATTTAATTTAAAGTATAAATTTCATTGTAAAAGTTAGTTAAAATTGGCTTAAGGTTAGAGCTTAACTCAGAAAGTCAGTGAGCTGTAGGAAAACGGAAGATAAGCACATGCGACTGCACCAGCGAGATTTACTAGTGAGATTTCCTCAAAATTTGACTCCTTAAGCCGAGAAGATGCCTCGCTTGATTTTCTTTACAGATAACCCCTTCGGAAGATCGATCTTCATCGCGGGAGGAAACATTAAGTGAGTTATAAACAACTGGTAAAAGTTTTTATTCGTATTTCTCGAGAGGTTGATAAAAGTAAAGTAAAGCTTAATTCCATTGTCTACAGTAAACCAAAAATGCTTAAGATTCTCGTCACACTTGAAGAAATTTAATGAAGTTCATACCATTTAATTGAATTTTTTGTTTGTTTAAGGTTCCTAGTCATTAGCCAATTTAGTCTAAAAGTAACCGTGAATGAAAAGAAATTGAAGTATTCCTATAAAATGAACAAAATTTATCTCCATATTATATTAAGTTGGATCAATTTAAAATGTCTAGGCTTAAGTTACCCTTCTCTCTCTCGTTGTTAATATTTTTAAGCAATACTAAATATTGAAAAATCTATAAATAAGGGCAATAAAACCATGTATTTCTGAATTGGAACTTAACTGAACTCTGCTGATGTGTGCGCGTGCGTAGGAAATTTCAAAGGGGTCACCAGAGCTCAGCTCTAAGGCGCGTGATCAAAGGATGGGAGGGCGAGTCGCGACCACAATAAACGCCGTGGGTTCGCATCCTGAATATCTCGACATCTCTTCTGTTTTTATTTTTTCCCCGCGATTTTCTATTCTCTACACCGGTTCTGTTTTGCTCATTTCTTTCGCCGTCGTCGCTCAATTCGATCTTTTTATTAATAAAAGGGTAGCCATTGCTGGAGTCGATACAAGAAAGAACAACACCCCCAAGCCGACGAGCAAGGCCGGATTCTAAAGCGTGCCCCCCGCAAGTATCGATTCTCGGAGTCACAGCACCGCAGCCCGACGTTACACATTACAGTATTCACAAAACTTAAGTGAGGAAAAACAAAATATAGTAAGGGAAATAACCAAATCAGACAACGCGTGATATGTATGAATATGTTTTTGTAAATAAATGCATGCAGAACACAATGAACGAAGAGAAATTCGAAACTGAAAGTTTCACTGTGGCTTAGGCATTTATGCCTAACACACGCTTAAAATTGGATTCGAGAGTTATTATGCTGCCGAAGTGTGGAATCAATTGCAAAACCTAACTGTATGACCGGCAGCAATAGCGCACTATGGGGCGAACGACCACCTTTTCTGGCATAAACCCATTTTTTAAAAGTTGTTAAAATACTTTTTTTTAACCGGAATGTATTCTTATAACATTAATCTGAAATGTTACATACAGAAAAGTTTAACATTGACGCGCTATGTTAAGTTATTCGCTGTTAAAGTTAGCTGTTAATGCAACGAGAAGCGATCGCTGTTAAATCGCGTCTTTATTCTGCAGATTTTAAATGCTACAAAAATGTAAAAAATCTAAATAAAATGCAAATTTTTTGATGCAATCTCATTTAAAAAGTGCTTCGTAATATATGTTAGCGGAATTCAACTCCAGAAATGTAATATGTTGCCCCCATAATTTTGTATAATTTGTAACCCTTATCTATATATATATATATATAAGTGGAGACAAAAAATGTTAGCAATCACATCACAAGAGAACGGCTTGGCCGATTTGTCTCAATTTTTTTTCAGTTGTTTGTAATGGCCAGAAGAGGGTTATAGCATAAGCAAATTTTGGGAAAAATATTGAAACAAAAGAATCGAGTTAACGAAGCATTACCAAAGTGAGCTTAAACAATTGGAAATAATGCCTGCTGTTAGACGATCAAGACTTGGACGGCGTTCAAGCAATGCAATAAGTAGTCATAATTTTCGTAATAGTCGGACGCAAGAGGAATTTACAGAAAGAAATGCATGCATAATACAGGAAGACGAACCGCAAATGAAGACTTGAATCGCGCTGCATTCGCACACAATTCTGAAACACCCTACAAAGATCTTAGCTGCGTTGTTATTGGTTCATTGTCTGACGTATGTCAGTATTGCAATGCCCTGAAGTCTCGGTTGGAAACCCCCGGCTTATCCACCAGAGCCATTGTATTCGCTACTATATGGAAATTCAGCCCAATAAAACAGTTTCCTAAAGCTTGCACAAAAATATAACGGATGCTTTCAAATGACCTTGTATAGTTGTGTCCCCTTGTATGTGTGTCACTAACAAGAGGTCATTGTAGGAGGGGTTCCCAGACAAGAGCAAACACCAATCGGGTCAATTTTCAACGTTATAATTATTATTCACTGCTTTACTTTAAACTATATGTATATACACATATGTATAGATGGGTGTGCATTCGCAATAGATCAGACGTCAGACTGGCGGCGTGCGTTTAGCGGCGTTTGCAAAATCAGACTGATTTTTCCCCTCTCTTCCATTCTCTTCTTCCCGCATCGTATGCACTGTCCAGCGACGAGCGAGCGATCGGCTGATCGTCACTCTCCCGCACAGTGGGACACGCAGCAAAACTGAACATGCCGCCCGCCAATGCTAGACCTAGACATCTCCGCGTGTCCAGTCCATCCTGGGGGTAGTAGGCGGGGCAGCTAGAATGGAGACACGAGACAAACGGTGTGCGCAAGAAATAATTCATTATGATTGAGGTGTACGTGAGAGCGCTTAAGAACGGATTGGCAGTGGACACAGCTTCGACACTGACCGTTTTAATTGGCCTTGCTTGGTTTTAAGGGTTACCACCCGGACTAACGCATCCGTCCCTGGGTGTAACTCGACGACCCGTCCTAACAGCCATTGTGACGGCGGAAATCGGTCATCCTTGATGATGACAAGGTCGTTCAACTGCAAACCTTCAGCCTCATGACACCACTTCGGTCTCTGCTGCAGATGAGCCAGCCAGTCTCGACTCCAAGCCTTCCAGAAATGGCGAATCATTGACTGCTGGATAAGAAACTGCTCTGCGAAGGACTTGGACTGCGGTTTATACTCCGGAGGCGCCAACATGGAGTCTCCAATTAGAAAATGAGCCGGCGTAAGCACCTCTAGATCGTCAGCATCGGCTGTGAGAGGGCACAGCGGCCGCGAGTTGAGGCATGCTTCTATGCTTATGAGCACCGTAGATAACTCCTCATAGGTGAGCCGTCGATCGGCGATGACCCTCTTAAGGTGGTGCTTCACCGACTTCACATTGGCCTCCCACAGCCCGCCAAAGTTGGGCGATTGAGGTGGACTAAAATGCCAAGTGGCACGCTGCGCAGCGAGCTTTGGGGCTATGAGCTTCTCGTAATCCTCCTGCAGCCTTCCGAATAATGCCTTCATTAGATTATCCGCGCCGATAAAGTTGGTTCCGTTGTCACTGTATAGATGTTGAACCATCCCTCGCCGCCCGGTGAACCGGTCTAAAGCCAGTAAGAAATGCTCCGTGGTGAGACCCGTCACTGCCTCCAAGTGTACAGCCTTCGTCGCCAGACAAATGAAAACGGCGATGTATCCCTTGTAGAACCTGGTTCCTCTCAAGCCCGCTGCCTTCAGCTCTATAGCGCCTGTGTAGTCAACTCCCGTCGCCAGGAACGGTCGGTTAGGGGGGTTGACCCTGTGTAGCGGCAGGTCTCCCATGAGCTGAGCCGAGGGGGTTGGCCGGGTGCGAAAGCACCTCACGCACTTCCGTAGCACCCTTCGAACTGCTTGCCTCCCCGTCAGTATCCAGAACCGCTGGCGAGCGTGGGCCAAGGTCAGCTGCGCACCTCCGTGCAGAGTCAAAGTATGCGAGTACCGTATTACTAGCTCTGTAAAAATATGAGAACTTGGGAGGATTATTGGATGCCGACGTTCGTATGATAGCCCCGAATGGCGCAATCGCCCCCTCACTCGTAAGATTCCCTCCACCACGATCGGTGACAAACTCTGAAGCTTGCTTTTGGAGGGCAGCCGTTTAGAATTCATCAATGCGGCCAGCTCAGACGAGAAGGACTCCCTTTGAACAATGCGCACGATGGCGAGTAAAGCATAGTCGAGCTCCTTAATGCTTAGGGGACCGGTACACCTCTCTCCTTTGCTAATAGCATTGCTTTTGAACCGAATTATAAATGCTGTGACTCTTATGGCCTGGCTGAAACTGGAAAACCTCTCAACCAACGATGGTTGCGGAACTGCCAGGTGAACGCGTACCTTGTCCGCCTTTGCCTCCAGCGCGGCATCGTGTATGTCGACCTGCCCGATCTCCGTCGAAGGCCAGTCACCTTGCTTGCGTGTAAGCCACTCCGGGCCTCGCCACCACAAATCAAAATCCTTTAGCTCGCTCGGAGGAAGCCCTCTTGTCGCACAGTCCGCTGGATTCTCGCTAGTACCTACATGTCTCCATTGCGATGGCGACGAGTGGTCCAGAATGAAGGCGACCCTGTTGGCAACGAACGTCTTCCATCTATTGACGTCCCCGTGCAGCCAATGAAGAAGAATCGTGGCATCCGTCCAATAAAAGGTCTGGATGGGAAGGTCATTTAGCCACCTAGCCGTTGTAAGCCATTTCACCAACTTGACGGCTAGCACTGCACCACTCAGCTCCGTTCTTGGTATGGTTAGGGGTTTAGTAGGGGTAACCTTTGATTTTGCGGCCAACAGCGAGGCGTAGCACGCTCCATCCCCGTGCTCGAGCCTTAGATAAGTAGTAGCTGCAAGGGACGTGGAAGACCCGTCACAAAACGCGTGCAGCTGAGCTGATACTATGGATCCTGGGGAATAATGAATCCACCGCTGTATGCTCAGGCCGTCTATCCCCAGCAAGCCGTCCCGAAATGCTTGCCACCTTTCCGCAAGAGCCTTAGGAACCTCGTCGTCCCAATCCAGAGCCGTCATAGCGCCGTTGTCCTGCGTTTTCTTAGCCATGGTTACCTCCTTCAATATTAACTTTCCCGAGATGATGACTGGCGCGACCTAGCGGGTCGAACAGCCTCGCTATGCTCGACAGGATCGTCCTATTAGTGAAAGTAGGTGGTATCTCAAAATTGACCTGAAATTTGAAGCAGTCCTTATTGGGGGAGCCAATACATTCCTAACGCCTTGATCGGATCCGCAGCGTCCCAGTTCAGAGGTGTCCGACTGCATTGATGCTCTGGCGGAATCGATTGCAAAAGGCTCTCTTCGTTGCTGGACCATTTCCGCAACTCCATGCAAGCGGATTTTATAGCACCCGATACGTGGGCCCGTTTATCCTCCGCATCTTCTATCGTAGGCCCACCGGAAAGAATGTCGTCCACGTAGATCTCGTCCCTTAATACTTCTTCCGCCTTAGGAAACGAACCCTGCTCATCCTTCGCTAATTGTTGAATGACTCTGATCGCCATGAAGGGTGCCGAAGCCGTTCCGAAGGTTAGCGTTGTCAACGCATAAACGTTGATGGACCCATCCGCCATAAAATCCGCTGATATTGGGCGTCTTCCGGGTGAACATCGATACACCGATACATTTTCTGTATATCTGCCGTAAAAACAAAACGATATTTCCGCCAGTTGAGAATGACTGCAGACATGTCGTTTTGAAGAGTAGGCCCAGTCCAAAAAATGTCATTTAAAGATCTTCCATTGCTAGTCCTTGAGGAGGCATCGAAGACGATTCGCTGTTTGGTTGACTGAATTTCCTTCTTAAAGACAGCGTGATGCGGAAGTACACAAGAGGCTACATGCCTGTTCGCGGCCGTACTCCTCACTGTGCTGCTTTCACTGCCCATTGCCGGCGCTATTTGCTCGAGCGCGAAGTATTCCTCAATCTCATCTACATATTTGCTCCAACGGTCTGGATTGTTGGACAGACGCCTTTCCATCTGGAGAAACCGATTAAGCGCCATCTGATCAGACCTTCCCAAGACCATGGTCGGATCGAGATAGGTTTTAAAAGGCAACCTGACCACATAGCGGCCGTCCGGTCGACGCACGTGGGTCTCCTGAAAAAACGACTCGCACCAGAGGTCCCCCTCTGTCGATATAGGGCAATCAGGAACTGACTCGACTTCACAAAAACGCTTCAGCAATGCCTCCGTGTCCAGCAGCACTCGATGACAGCGCAATTGTGTTGCTTCTCTTACTCCTTCGGCACGTCCCGATAGAATCCATCCGAAGCGTGTATTCTGCGCTATAGGCTCGCCGGGCAATCCAATCCTGGTGTCTGGCAGCATGATTTGCGCCAACATGTCCGCTCCTAAGATGAGATCGACTCTCTTCGACCGGGCGTAGCTCGGATCTGCCAGAGGGAGCCCTCGAATATGATTCCAACGCTGCGGCGTGAAGCTAAGGCTAGGCAGACAGGAAGTAACTGAATTGAGAACATATGCTGAATCAACCTCTAGAGAAAAATAGGGATTAATAATACTATTAACTTCGAAATTAACTGTATACTTGCAACGACGACCGCCCCCTGGGCCCACCCCAAAAATCGATGCTCGGGTATTGCACCTTCTCAGATGCAGGGACTGTACGACGTGCTCCGAAACTATTGTTGCCTCAGATCCTTGATCGATGAGTGCATTTATGACCGCTCGTAGCCCGTTGACCGGGTTTCGTACGGCAATACGAGCAGGGGCGAGGAGCACATTTCGGGAGGACCCATTCGCCGAAGTTGCTGAATAGCATCTGTAAGATGCGTCCGGATTCTGGCCCGACGTTGACTGTAGGCCCTGCTGAGGTACGGTCTCCCCAGCTGCATCAGGATGCGTCGTGGCAGACCGAACTGGATGCAGCGCTGTGTGGCTTGACGATCGGTCCTGAGCCAATGCTGGGAAATGCAACAGCGTATGATGGCGCTGGCCACAAATTTGGCAGCTCTTATTGCTGGTACAGCGGGAAAGCGCATGTGCTTTACTCAGGCAATTAATACATAATTTCGCCCTGCTGACTATGTCCTTCCTCTTATAGCAGTCCAAGGCCAAAAAGGCGGCACAACGACGCAGGATATGGTCACCGCTACAGTGATAACAGGAGCTATTCGGGCGCCTTGTGTGCTCCTGTGCACTATGCACTTGCACTCGCTTGCCTGGGTCGACAGATCCTGAGCCATTATTGGAGTCGTACGACGAGCTTCGGTTCTCGATCGCATCCATTATGACCAGCCGATCATTCAAAAACGATTCTAAATCCTTATAAGTTGGAACGGTGGCACCGCTCCCTTGGTGGTGCTCCCAAGCGTTGTGGGTCTCCTTGGGCAACTTCGCTGCTATGTAATGCGCCAACCAGTGCTGCCGTTCCCCGTCCAAGGCTTGGACGCGGCGGAATGCAGCCAGGCAAACATTGACCGTGCTCAGCATCGACCGTATTGAATCCGTATTATCCTTTTGCAGCCTGGGCAACGCGTATATCGCGTTCATGTGGTGGGAAAAAACTAGACGAGGATTGTTGTACCTTTTAATCATCATTCCCCATGCCACGGCGTAGTTCGTCTCTGTGAGCTGCATTTGACGGATGTCATTATCACGCCCTACCGGCAACGATTCCTTCAGAAAATGTAACCGCTGTACGTTACTCAAATTATTGTTGTTATGTATGAGGCTCGTGAAGGCGTCATAGTAGCCTGGCCAGTCCACACACGCACCGGAAAACTTGGGAACTGACATCTGTGGCATGTTCAGTCGCACCTCCGGATCAGCGGCTCCACTTGGCAGTGGCTGCAGCTTAGGAGTCTCGGCTCCAAGTCTATCCAAATCCTCTGCGATGGCACAATAGGCGTCCATATAACGCTCCTCGAACTCCGACTGGAAATTTTTTACGGCATAGCTCGATTCCGCAAACCCTTCTAGATTCACGATCACGGCATCAGTCTCCTGGAACGCGCTCCTTAGCTCTTCCACTTGTTGCAACCGCTTCTTTAAATAAATTCTCGTTTTCCTCGATTGTGAATCCTTTTTAAAATTCAGCAGCGTCGATTTAAGGGATTGGGCCCGATTTATTTAATCTATTTACACCCAGTAAAATCGAATTTAAATTTTCACAATTGCAAGGTTCCCCTCATGGGCCACCATGTATAGTTGTGTCCCCTTGTATGTGTGTCACGAACAAGAGGTCATTGTAGGAGGGGTTCCCAGACAAGAGCAAACACCAATCGGGTCAATTTTCAACGTTATAATTATTATTCACTGCTTTACTTTAAACTATATGTATATACATATATGTATAGATGGGTGTGCATTCGCAATAGATCAGACGTCAGACCGGCGGCGTGCGTTTAGCGGCGCAAAGTAGCGCCTCTCGAACAAAAGCCGTTGCAAAAATCGAAAAAGTCATAATCGCAAAATCGACTTAAACCATAAGAAATCGACAGAGAATTTCCCAAGGATTCCGAATCTGTAACCAAACAAATTTTCAGATTTTTTTGAGGAAGATATGAACATTCAAAGTCGAATTTGTTTTCCGTGTATGCGTCATACAACAAAAAATAGGTAAATTAGTCGACTTTCAGGTAATATTACACAAAAACTACATAACCAATTGTCTTGATTTTTTTTTTAAGTGACAGGTATATTCATTACCTCTTATTCAAATTAAAAAAAACGGTAGTTTTGTGTGGGCTTGTACAGGTAAATCACTACCTGCCAGGTGTCCATTTTTTTCACCTTTTTTTGGCTAAAGTAGTCTATAACTTCTGAAGCTGCCCAGAGCCGGCGACTACACTATGACTACGCACTGCGTGTATCTTTCCTGAATCAGAATCCGTTTAGAAAGTCTGCGTCCAGCTGCGACTCTGGCATTGCGAAGCAAAACACTGAAACAACTCAGGGTAAAATATACCAAAATACCGACACAATTTCATACAAACCAACAAAAAAATACTAACTGTAGCGCTCACGGTTCTGTGGCGGTTAAACTTGGAAAAAAAATTTTTTTTTTTTCAGTTTTCAAATTATTTTTATTTAAGCAAACACATTAAAATAAAGATAAAAAATTAAATAAAAAATATTTTTTAAAAATTGTCTTCATTGAGAAAAAAATATTTCTTCACTTTGATAACCTTTAAAAAGGCGAATGAGTGGGCGTGGCAGATTTTCCAATACATATGTTAATTTTACAACAATTACCTGTCAAATGGCGTTTACATTATTTAGTTATCTTGTTTTGTTAAAAAGTTATGATTTTTGCAACGTAAAATGAGAAAAGGCGCTACTGTGCGGCGTTTGCAAAATCAGACTGATTTTTCCCCTCTCTTCCATTCTCTTCTTCCCGCATCGTATGCACTGTCCAGCGACGAGCGAGCGATCGGCTGATCGTCACTCTCCCGCACAGTGGGACACGCAGCAAAACTGAACAGACCTCATTTGGAGCCGAGGTTGCTGATCAATCAGGTTATAATCTAAGTTATAAGATAATGGCGTCTCTTTATTATCAAAATGAACAACTCACATTTTTTTTGAAATTGCATCCCAACATTCAGATTCCACCATAAACCAAAGATCATATATTCCTTCAGATCTATTTCATTGGTGATTCGGCAGTTGAACTAAATCACCGCTGTTCAATTTTTCTTGCAACAAAACGTAAAATTATCGAACAATTGCAAAATCTTCTCCATGAGCATAATGAATTGGTCAGATTGTTCAAAACCGCATTGGATATAATGCATTATGACGACCACAAAATCATTATCAGCGCTGACAAAAGACCCACTGGTAGTCATGCAAGACAATTTAATGCTCCCACTATCAATCAGCTCTATGAATTTTTATGCGTATCGATTGATGATGTTTCAACAGTACATGTACGTCAAAGCTCTATATACTGGAAGTCCGAAGGGAGAGGGAGAGAAAGAGAGAGCGTTCGGGATCATTAGAGCTTGGTAGCGGGATCGCACTGCCTCCCAAAATTAAGCGCCTTTCGCGCGGGGTCCCGCTTCCACCTCCCGCCCAA